CTACAGGTATGACAAGAAAATTAATGAACATTCTATTTGCATTTCTATTTATAGGCGGGCACTTTCTTATATGATTGTTTGCATGTATTTATTTTCAGGACTATTAAATACATTTTTAAAAATACTTATTATATTTCAGTTACGTTAATACACATCACATAATGGTATATTAATTTAATATTCACAAGGTCATTTCACCCAGTGCAATAAATATGTAGGATTTGTCAGGATTCATATAGCGTTTTACAGCCCGTATCGCCTTATGTATTATGTGACATTGGGGGTGAATCTTATTAGATACACTACAAGTAAAGCATAATATCCTAGATTGTAAGCTCGAAAGAGCAGGGCCCTCGAACCCCTTGTGTATTGTATTGTTTCTGTCTTGTCTCATGTTCTGTCCCACTTGCTATTGTACAGCGCTGAGCATACCCTTTGGCGCTATATAAATACTGTATAATAATAATAATAATATACTCATTAGTACCTGGCAGTGCAAGAGTGGATTTGTTTTATGTTTGGGTGGATGTTTGTAAAAATCTTTCCTGACAGACTCCATGGCAGCATACGTATAGTTTAGTCCTTCCCTCTCTTCTCCTATAGGACCTCACTCCCATAAATCTTTGCTCCTCGCCAGAGGCCGTGTTCCCCTTTTGTCCTCCTCCTATGGTCCTAGTGTAAGTCTTACCTGGTTCCCACATACAAGATAGTCCGCGACCGAGCCTGTTCAGGAAATGCAAGGTGATGCGCCACTTGTCAGTTCCACAGGCCCTAGCTAAAGGCAGAGTATTGGACGCGGCGGATGGATGTGGCGCTGGGAGTGGCGTAGCAAGGCGTTTCCACATCAATTCCAGTGTTTCCCAGCTAAAAGTGGGGTGGAAATGGGCGAGCAGGAGTTGGTGCCTGGAAGAGCTCAGATCCGCCAATAGCGGGCGAGCAGCACTTGTGCCAGATAGCCTGCTAATAGCCGATGGCCATGTAGCGCCCCAATTGGACAAGGTGGTCTCCAAGTCAGGCAGTCGTGGTTGTGCAGGGTTAGTAAGCAGTGTCCTTGCCCATGTTTGGGTCTCATTTTGTGCTCCTTTTTGTCTTTATTTTTCTTTTCCTGGTGCTACTGGGTGCTTGGAGTGCAGCATTGCTGCTCCAGGGTCCAGAGCGGTCTCCATCGTACTGCGAACGAGGCTTGGCTTCGAGTGTACACAATATGGCAAGATGGCACCACTTGCGCATGTGCATGGGAGTCCCGAGGTCTGGTGCTTGCTCAGTACGGCGGCGGTGACCTCACAGCGGCAAATTTAAACAGCTGTCAGAGCTGTTTTCTTTGGGAAATCCTACGGGCTGACTAGGACAGCCTCCCCAAGCGCTGTGGTCTACTGTGAAGGTCAGTACCTGTCCCTCTTGCCCCACCTGGTGGTCTTCTGTGATTCTGCATGCAATGATTTTTTTTTCACAGCTTGGTTGCCTTCACAGCTGACCGTCATTTATGTGTTGTTGCCTCCTTGTGGCCAGCCCCTGTGCAGTAGGTACGGACAGGCGGCTTTAGCCCCTTTATCCCCCACTGGTGCATTTCTGTGACTTAACCAACCCTCGTTCTGTTTCTTTTTTTTGTGCTTTTCTCTTTCTCAGCCCTTCTAGGTCTGATCGCCACTGTGAGATGGGGAAACAGCTCTCACTGTTTGAACACTGTTTGTGTGCAGTAAATTATGGTGTGGAGTAAATTGATGTCTTGACTGACATTCTGCGGTTTAGCCACAAGATGTCACTATTTTTTCTAACACAGCCTCAGACTGCATAGATATTTGTATATTCATGAAGAGGTGGGGTTTTTTAGTGAACAGGAAGAGGAGACTGCAGCCATGTTCTGGAGGATGTTGAATGCAGGTGCCATGTTCTGGAGAATGCTGAATGGAGGGGCCGTGTGAGCTGCAGCTGGGTGAAGCTAATGAGATTGCTTCCAGGAAGCTGATGAGAGCCGAGGAACAACGCAGCATACACTACAATATCGCAGACCTGTTGGAGAGACATTTGGTCTGTTCAGAGTCACCAGCGGATGAAAAGCAGACCCGGGTCGGTAAGATCGTGCACGCACCTTATTTCAGTGTTGGTGTCTTGAGACTGAATCCAGGCCTATAGTTAGGGTCTCTGTTTGTGTCAGGCCACAAGTTTTGTTACTGATTACTGGAAGGACTCCACAACTTAAAGTGACATTTCACATTGGAGAGCTGATAAAATTCTACAAACTCAAGCCAGACTGGCGTTTTGCTCAGAAGGAATACTCAGGCACGTGCTACAGGACCAGTTATGGGAGGGGGAATACTGTAGATTTGTGTAAGATTGTAAGCTGTTGTGCTGCACATACCCTAGCCCATACCGTACACTCATACCCTGATTCCTGCTCTTTTAGGGTAATAACAGGTAAGGTGTGGCAGCTTATTTGTGCCCGCCAGTAGGTAAATTACTTCACTTTCTACCTTCATCCATCAGAAGGCGCCGTGCTGTGCAGCACAAGGGTCTCAGCCTTTGGGCTGGATGTATGTAAATTTATTGTATGTTTCCAGCATTTGTGGTTGTGTTTATTTGCCACATCTAAGTAAAATTCTGTTGTGGCAAAAGCGGTGGTGTTGAGGTTGCTTTCCTCGTTCATGACTTCACTGTATCCTGGGGAGCCCACCCCGGTACACGGCATACACCACTATACAGTGCATGTTGACGGAAGTGAATCCATGTCACTCGTCCTTCAAATCTGGATGCCACAGGTCTCCTTCCAGCTCCAGGTGTCATTGAGAGATGTTCTTGTTCCTCCTCCAGGCATCACGTTAAGGGGCACTCCAGGGGTGTGATTCTCAGGTTCCTGACGACAGTCATTATGTGACTTCTATTTTGCATGGGTGAGAGAGAAAGTGCCAACCAACAGGTAGAGGCTTTGGTAAGATGGGTCGTTCAATAGTCCCTAAGAGAAATTGGGACTAGTCACCACTGCAGCCCATCGGTCGGGGTGTATCTCCTCCCAAAGATCCCCAAGAAGGATTGGAGCCTTCACAACCTAGCCACCTGTCAGCCGGAGCCTCAGACAGTGAGGTGGAGGGTGAAGATCCGTGGTCTTGCCCCTAGTCAAAGCAGTCAAAGAGGCCCTGAAGTGGGAAAAAGCTGTGGAGTCTCCTCCAAAACACAGGAAATTCCTTAAACATCTAAGGAAGGATTGTCCAAACTTTCTGTTCCTGGAGGAACTTGGGGAAATTTTCACTGAGGAGTGAAGTAATGTTGATAAGAGGGCATCCTTGCTGAATAAAGCAGCCAAGCTTTATCCGTTCAAGACAGAGGATGTCAAACACCTAGAATTGGCCCCTTCTGCTGGATGCAGCCTTGATGAGACTAGCCAAGCATGTTACCCTCCCTCTCAAGGATTCGTTGTCCTTCAAGGACAACCTGGAAAGGAGAATCGTTTCCGATCTCAAGAGAATCTACACTACGGCTGTTTGAGATCAAACTGGACAGCGCTATAGCCCCGGGCTACAGGTGGGAGGTCCGGTTTCTTGCCCCAGGATTGGCGTCTGCTAGGCCAGAAGAAGGCTCAGCCCAGAAATCAAGGCTCAGAATGAGCTAGGGATGCGTGCCTCAACAAGCTGGACTGAATTCAAGAGAAGCTGGAGGAGAAGCTGATCATCTTTTCAGAAATCCTCTGGAGGTCGTGAGGACACATAGTCCTTTAGAGATTGGGCCCGCTCAGACAGGCCAGGTGGGGGCATGCCTTCGCCACTTTCCACATTTCTGGGCAGATTCATTCTGGGGCGCCTGGGCCATCAACACGGTATCTTTATGGCATGCTTGGGAATTCAAGAGCCCTCCTCATCTCAAGTTCACCCCTACAGTCCTTCCACATTCCAAAGGAAAAAGGTAAATCATGCTGTCCTATGTGGACTCTCTGCTGGCACAGAACGCTATCATGCCAGTTCCAGAGGGCAAAGAATCCTAGGGCATGTAAATGCCCCTCTTTTTGGTTCAGAAAAGAAACGAGGCCTGAAGGATGGTCATAGCTCTCACCCATCTAAATTCATTTATCCGGAAGTCAATATTCAAGATGGATACGCTGTTCACAATTCAACAAGCAATTCGGCCAGGTGACTGGAACCTGTCTATAGATCATGTGCCCATTGCAAGAGCCTTCTAGAGATTCCTCTGGTTCGCTGTGGGCCATTGGCATCTACAGTTTGTGTCTCTCCCCTTTGGGCTTTCAACGTCACCTCGGGTGTTTTCAAAAGTCTAGGCGGTCATGGCCTTGATCAGAACCAGAGGCATTCTCCTGTACCACTACCTAGATGACCTGCTCCTACTATCCCGGGACAGAGTACAACTACTGGGCCCATGTCATCTCTACCCTTCTCGGGTTCGGGTGGTTGCTGAAGTCAAAGAAGAGCCAGTTGGAGCCCACTCAGTCTTTAATTTTCCTCAGGGTTCATTTTGACGCAATCGGCGCCACTATCTCCCTGCTCATAGGGAAGATTCCGGTGATCAGGAGCTGAATACTACCTGCCCTGTATTCCTCACATCTTCGGGCCCTCCAATGCCTGAAGATCATTGGCAGCATGGTGTCCTCAGCGCCCATGGTGAAGTGGGCACAGTGGAGAATGTGACCCTTCCAGAAGGGCTTTCTTCAAAAGTTGATTCCAGGCAGCATGGGCCAGGTCATCTACATATCTCCCTCCATGAAGGAGAGCCTTCCTTGGTGGCTGCAGCAAAAGAACCTGCTCAATTGCCATTCGATTGCCCCCATCTCCTGGGTCACAACCACTATGGATGCCAGCAACTCCGGATGGGGTGCTCTCTGCCAGTCAGAGATAGTGTGAGATGGGAAACAGCTCCCATTGTTTAAACACTGTTTGTGTGGAAGTAAATTAATGTTTTGACTGACATTCTGCGGTTTAGTGACAAGATGTCACTGTTTTTCTAACACAGGCTCAGACTGCATAGATATTTGTATATTCAGGAAGAGGTGGGGTTTTGCACTCAGAGTTGGAGTTTAGTGAACAGGAAGAGGAGACTGCATGTTTTAGATGATGCTGAATGAAGGGGCCGTGTGAGCTGAGAATCCGATGACATCCAGGTGTGAATGCGTCCCTCACTAACCAGAGCTGCAGCTGAATGAAGCTGATGAGATTGCTGCCAGGAAGCTGATCAGATTGCTGCCAGGAATGCTGATGAGATTGCTGCCAGGAAGGCTGACGAGATTGCTGCCAGGAAGGCTGATGAGAGCAGAGGAACTAAGCAACATATACGGCAAGACCGCATGCTTGTTAGAGAGACATTTGTTCAGTTCAAAGTCACCAGCGGATGCAAAGCAGACCCGGGTCGATAAGATTGTGCACGCACCTCATTTCAGTGTTGGTGCCTTGAGACTGAGTCCAGGTCTATAGTTAGTTAGTTAGGGTCATTGTTTGTGACAGGCCACAAGTGTTGTTACTGGGGTTCCCTCAGAGGTTGGGGTTCCTTCAGAGGTTGTTAGGGGTTGTGAGCTGTGACTGTTTGACTTCCCATTTGATGGTGCCTGCATAGTCCTGAAATCAATTCCATTTAGCAAAGCCAGCTGCAGAACATCAATGATCATTTTAGCTGTCTGCAAGGGTGGCCTTCTGACAACCACTGTAAGGGTGGAACTCTTTCCACTGGCCACCAATGTACAAGGCATTTTTCCCAATGACTCCTAATGAATTAGTTTAAACTGGGGTTCCCTCAGATGTTAGGGTTCCTTCAGAGGTTGTTAGGGGTTCCTTGAGCTGTGACTGAGTTCCCATTTGATGGTTCCTGAATAGTCCTGAAATCAATGCCATTTAGCAAAGCCAGCTGCAGAACATCAATGATCATTTTAGCTGTCTGCAAGGGTGGCCTTCTGACAATCACTGTAAGGGTGGAACTCTTTCCCCTGGCCACCAAAGTAAAAGATATTATTCCCAATGACTCCTAATGACTTGGTTTAAATTTGGGTCCCCTGAGGCCTAAGAATTATTTTAAGGTTTCCTCTAAGGTAAAAGGGGTGAGAAAAGTTGCTATAACCAGTGCAACTAATGCAGGCAACCCAGGACAATGGCTGTTTTTGCGTTCAGCATGGTTTAAAACATACCCTCATGTCCTTTATTTTTATATTGAAAAATACCCAATTTGACTTGCTTTGGCCATCTCTCCAGCAATACAGCAGGGGTCCCATGCTGTTCAGCAGGTGCAGATCTTCTCTAGCTCCCTGTAAAAGTTTTATGGAGCCGGAAACCTCTATTTGACTCCAAAAGAGCAGCTTTTTGACTCTTTCTTATTAAGGCACAATAGTAAGTGTAGCCAGGAGACAGACTTTTCTTGCTTCTTACAGATAAGTAATTGCAAGGTAGATGGGTTGGACTTCAGTCTGCAGTTCTATACATTTTACTGCTGATACCACTCTACCTAAGGCTGTGTTTAAGCACAGATGTACTTATGCAGAATGCTGAAGATGGTAAAAAGTGCCAATAAATCAGAGAGAATAGGAAATAAACGTACAAATTGCACCAAAGATGAACGGAAAGAAATATACAATTCACTGATGTTAATAGGAGGGTAATGTTTTATCCATATCTTAAAAATCCCCTTTAATGAAGTGGCATGTCCTTGAAGTGCTATACTTTGCAATATAAAAGGCTTTGTTTCCTATACACAGTATCTGTTTTAGGCGAAATCATTATTAAAATATAAGCCTGGCTTCTTTGCTCTGATACCATAACAGTGTGCTACAACTGCAAAGTTCCATATGAAAAGAAATGACTTTGTCATTTCATTTTCCTCCAAACAGAGATACATAATAAAGAGACAGTGAAGGATGCACCAAAGCTTGCAGTTGGATGCAGAACTTTTACAAAACAATGCTGCATAAAATTCAGAGGGGGAATGGCATTGATACTAAATGCTAGGTGATTTCATTCCTAAAAACACTTCAGTGCCTTTTTGTGCCCCTTTGTCCCCAAACACTTAGGCTACTTTTACACTGCTTCATTGCACAAATCTGGTAAAACGCATATTTGTCATGTTTTACCATGTTTTTACAGCATTCCCAGTGTGTTTTGCACCTGCGAAAAACTAAAAAAAAAGCACCAAAAACACAACCAAAAGTGCGTTGTTGATACGTTTTTGTTGCGTTTTCCAATAGTTTCCATTAATTCCCATTAATTTCAATTGAGGGTGCATTTTTGGTGCACTTTTTTAGCACACCAAACATTCACAAAAAAATGCAGCTTGCAGGACTTTGAAAACCTCAACCAACCCGCAACTGACCAATGTAAGGAGTCCTATAGGTCATGCGCTTTTCTTCCGCTTTTTTTTACTGCAAGAAGAAAAACTGATCAGTGTGAAAGCAGCCTTACCTGCAGTCCATGTTCACTGCTGCTGGGTCCTCCATGATTTGCACCACCTCCCCAGTCCTCCAGGTTGCAGATGAGGGTACTGAGGGCAGTGGTGTGACAGATGTCTGCTGCTATCAGTCAAAATGCTGGGAGCAGGGACATGGCTTGCCAGGTGATGTGTCTGTCTATGGATGTACAGAGCACCAGCCAGAAGCATGTACACACAGGCGTTTCCCTAGCACCTGGCTAACTAAAGAGACACCTTCAGGTTGGGGGTGCCAGCAACCTGGAGACCAGCCACAAGAGAACAAAGGTCGCAATTTTTAGAAGAATCATTTTTTTTTATTAGTAGTGTGGACTGCCCCTTCAAAAAAAAAAAAAAAAAAAAGTGGGTTTAATTGCTTTCCCGCCACCCTATAGCAGAAATACTGCTACAGGGCGGTAGGGCTGCGTATACATTCGTGATGTTGCATTTCTGGGTAGGGGGCACCTACCTGCGCCACCATTGGCAGACTCAGCTGTCGATCACCGGGTCCCGACTGATGATTCCCCGCTAGCACCCAGTGATTGCCAAGTATCACTGATGGGGGAGAGACCCGTATGTAAACAATACAGATCTCTCCCCTGTGAGCTCCTGCACACTGCATAGCAGAGCAATACAAAGCAATGTGCTGACACAGTGAAAGACACACACAGCAAAACAGCACACAATTAACCCTTTGACTCCCCAGATGTTAACCTTTGCATGCCCAGTGTCATTAGTACAGTGTCAGTGCTTTTTATTAGCACTGATCACTGTATTAGTGTCACTGGGGATGTCAGTGACAGTTAGTCAGTTCCCCCTCACAGTGTCAGAATGCCCGCCACAGTTCCGCTATAAGTCGCTGATCGGCGCCGTTGCTAGTATAAAAAAAAAATAATTCCAGTATATATACCGCCATTTGTAGATGCTATAACTTTCACGTAAACCAATTAATTTACATGTATCGGGAATTTTGTTTAGCAAAGACGTGTCGCAGAGTACATTTTGGCCTAAATTTATTACAAAATTAGATTTCGTTTAATAGCAAAAAGTCAAAAATAGTCAAAAATACTGTATTTTTCTCAAGATTGTCGGGGGTTTTTTTTTGTTTATAGCGCAAAAAAATAAAAACCGCAGAGGCGATCAAATACCACTGAAAGAAAACTCAATTTTTGGGGGAAAAAGGACATAAACTTCATTTGGGTGCAATGTTGCATGACCGAGCAATTGTCAGTTAAAGAAATGCAGCGCCGTATCGCAAAAAATAGCCTGGACAGAAAGGGGGGTAAATCCTCAGGAGGGCAAGTGGTTAATATCACTTTAACAGTAATAGCAGACAATTGATAAGGCAGTCAGAAAGCTAACACTTTACAGCTTTTAAATTTGTAGGCTGGTTTGCACAGACACAAAGTTTAGGGATGCAGAGCACTTTTGGGCCCACTAACCCATTTGAAGTGTACTATATGTATTTGATTTCTTTTAGTCTGTTAAATATACCATTTTTTTATATCTGTTTAATTAGTGCAAAAAAAAAAAAGATTCTGATAAAGCTCTGCCTCTTCTGGTGTACTGGAATCTCCAGCAGTGTTATCAGTCCCCTCCAGTTCTTCTTTAGGAATTACAGAATACCCCCATAATATGGAGATGAGCAGAAGGGAAGGTGTTCTGTAGTCATGTCCTAGGGTGACAGTTTTGATCCTCATAGATACAGTACAGTGAGGTAGTGTTATCATCCTAGGACAAGAAGCGTTTCTGGGTACATGTTATTGCTTCTTTACTGAGCCAATGCATTCAGTACTTTCACAGTCACTGACTTGGAACAAGAATTCAGATGAGGAATATCATAGTAATTTAAGACAGCCTCATCTTCATATTTGTCTAGGTCAGTGATTCAAACAATTGACACAAGCGGGTCAATGTGATGGGACAGGCCACTTGTAAAGGGTGTGTTCAGATTTTTGGCCAATTACCTCCCAATGTATTATTAGTGGAGGTCCTGTTCTCTGACTGTAGAAAAAGTTCCATCAATTAGAAGAAAAAAAGACTGGTTGCTGGGTTGAAGGGGAGTTGCAGAGGATGTGAAACAGGACAGACCTATTTTCAGAATGTTGAGAAACTCTGAGAAATTGAGGCAATCTTCAGCACACAGAACATTTGCCTTGTAAATATTGCCCACACTGTGAATGTGCCGAGATGCAGCAGCAGCAGCAGCCAGAATAGACAGTTGGCCTCCTGATGACACCAAAAGGGAAGATGGCATTGTGAGTCCTGGCATGCTAGGACAGAGTTGTGGATTACACCAAACAATGCTAGATTTGTTGGGTAAGTATGTGTCAGGGCTCCAGGTATGACCAGAGGTGTGTGGACTGACACAGGGAAACGCAGGCTTCAGATATGGTATAAACAATATAATTTATTAAGACTAACAATACAAAACGCAGTGCAAAACTAAACATAAACACAGTGCAAACAAACCAAACCACCCACCGATAACAATACATACAATACAAAGAGTAGTCAGGCAGGCCGGGTCAGTAGCAAACGGGCAAACGGAGTACCAGGAACAGGCGGGAGAGTGGTCGGGGTCACAAGCTGGGTTCAGTAACTCACGGGCAGCGCGGGTACAGAGGGTCGGGCAGAGAATGGTCTGGGTCACAAGCCAGGGATCAAGCAGGAGAAGTCAGCAGAGGTCAGGATCAGGCAGGGTCGGCAACAAGTCAGACAGGAACAGGAATACAGGATACAAGGTACAGGGGCCCATGGAAAAACACACACCAAGGCTCTGACTGTGAGTCTGGCCATTCCTTAAATACAACCCCTGCAATCAGCTTCAGGTGTTTGGCTGATTGCAGGGGTGAGTCTCTCATTGCTGAGAGCACCCGCTGGCCAGCCCTGGTACTGCAGCCCACAAGGCAGGTGAGTCCCATCATTATTGGCAAGTCCATTCCTGACAGTATGCC